GAAGCATCTGTGTACTGCGAAATCCCCTGTAAATAAATGACTCCTATATAATTCTGAAGCGGCAAACACCGAGAGTAGAATATTCTGCCACGACACTTGTTTCATTGACACTTCGTTCCGTAACTTCGTTATGGGCATTCAAACCGTGCCCATTCCACAGGTATAGGCGAGGTATACTATTCGAATTTTGTAATGGTATACATAGGAAACGTAGAAAAACTCTACAGCTACTGACTTAGTACACAAAGTTACACCGTTTTTTCATGTGAGAAATGTCAGTTTCGGCTCGGTTATTTTATTCATCAACTCGCAACATCTGTTTTTCAAATCATGAAATCAAACCCGAAAACACAATTTTGTTGAGAAAAGTAAGGAAATAAGCTCACGATTCAATGGAATTACTAAAGCTCAGTTACAAACGTACTGCTTGATAATTTAAGCGAAATAAACAATTTGGTATTTTTTTGCTACACGTATTAAGAGAGATTCTTAGTGAGTACAAAAAAATGATTTCCACAATTTGTTTCACGCTTATTTTTCTTATGTTACTTGTGACGACCTTGCCTTGATCTCAAAGTTTATGTATTTCTAGTGTCTACTGAAATATATTCATTATTATCATTGCTAACAGCGATTTATTTCCACAGAATGAATACCTCGCTTCCTTGGCACCGTCAGATCAATTCTTGGCCGCGAGTATCCTAACCGACGTTGTGGGTTCTTCCTTGTCTTTGCCGTCGGCATCGGGGGTGAACAGACCTGCGGGTGGCGTTAGCCTCCCTCCTGCAGGCGGTTCCTTCCCTGAGCAGTCCCTGCTACTCGGCAACCCTGGACAAATGCTTTCAAACAGGAGCGTCAACTCGGCGTCCATATCCTCCGCTGCCCTGACTCTTGCAGCGGCGGGTGCCAACTTCATGTGCCAAGCATCATCTTCATCATCAGCCGCCAACAACGCTGCTGCGGGGCCTGCCAGCAAGCGAGTCGAGTGCCCCGTGTGTGGCAATGGCATGGCCAAGAGTTACCTGCCAACACACATGCGCCTGCACACTGGCGAGAAGCCCTTCGCCTGTTCTAAATGCTCCTACCGAACAGCGGACCGGTCCAACTTGAACCATCACATGCTTCGTCACCGCGCGCAGGCGGCGCTCGAGACGAAGCCATGTGGCTCAGAAGACGAGGCTGCTATCCTTTTCTCGTAGGGCGAGGCTGCTATCCTCTCCTCGTAGGACGAGGCTGCTATCCTCTCCTCACAGGACGAGGCTGCTATCCTCTCCTCACAGGACCAGGCTGCTATCCTCTCCTCACAGGACGAGGCTGCTATCCTCTTCTCGTAGGACGAGGTTGCTATCCTCTCCTCACAGGACGAGGCTGCTATCCTCTTCTCACAGGACGAGTTGCTACCCTCATAGGATCCATAATTTCACTTGCTTAAAAGGCCTTACTTCTTCCTCATGAAGTCCAAGCAAGCCTATTCCTAAACGATAGTCGTACATTTCTTCACCTGACGCTCCATAGCGCTATTTCCTGTAATTGATGGGGGACTTGCAGCTTTTTATCAGAGAATCTAATCACTCGGTTGGTCCTTCAGTTTTTAATCATGTGATCTAATCTCTCGGTTGGCCCTTGAATTTTTATCAGAGAATCTAATCACTCGGTTGGACCTTCAGTTTTTAATTATATGATCTAATCTCTCGGTTGGCCCCTGAATTTTTATCAGAGAATCTAATCACTCGGTTGGACCTTCAGTTTTTAATCATATGATCTAATCACTCGGCTGGCCCCTGAGATCACGCAGCATCGAACTACATATTTCCATGAGTCGTGCCAGTATTTCTTACTCATTGAATGACGCCTCACGCCTCATCGCTCGACGGTTTCAGAATCTCGTAGCTTCTCGGTAATGAAGCGCGGTGTGGCTGGAAGTAACTTATAGATTTTCATTGATTCAGGTATTATAGAGGGTGAATAAAATATTAATGCTAGCCTAATTACGAGTAAGTTCCAATTTTAAATGAATATCATCAAAAAGTGTTGTCTTACATTTATATTTTCAAATTATTGAAAAATCGGAATATTTCTGGAAAGAATGGGTATTTCTTACTGGTAGCTTCAGCATATCTCAAATATGGAGAATCGTTGAGGTTTAGGAAGATGCGCGCATTTCAATCGTTCACTAAAATTACATTCAAACTTATACCACGATATAAACCTTTTTGGCTGAATATCTTTTTTTTTTACCAGTCCCTTGATTGATATTAACACGTTGATTCTGATTGCTTCATCTTGTACTATTATTTCATTTTTTGTACTATTTTGAAATAGGGCTGTCAGACGGTGTTTTTTCCAGACAAATTCCGCGATTTAATTTTTTCAATTGAGTTGGCGGGCTAAAATTTAAGATAGAGGTACTTCCTAATTAAATTTAAAAAACTGCACAAAATAGAAATGGAATTTTTACACCGGAACCTACAAATATACTAGTACCTATATATTGATTTATAGGCCTTTTTTGGGTCTTTTTTTGTTCGCGGACTTTGCCGTTTGTTAGGCCATCTGGCAACACTGAATTATGTACAACTACGTCTTGGAGAAATACACTTCGTGGCACGCCCACTTCGGAGTCAACGTGTTAATATTCGATCAAGAGAAAGGCCTGTGAATTCCTCTAATTTTTCGATGGCTCGACCTTCTCATTTTGAAAAGACTTGATTCCTCTGACGATTAGTTGATTTATCTACAGCTGCATCATTATAAAAATACTTAGGAAGACTTAGAATTGCTAGTTTTACTGGTGAGCACCTCAGCGTGCGGTTATTGGCAGGCTAAGCGAATAACCCGACTCCTGATTGGCTGCTGGGTTGCTAACAAAACAATTATTTTTGACGATGCTAACTATGCAGAAATAATGTGTTCTTAACGTGCCGTGCTTGTGATTTGATTCAATATTCTTAGCTTTTTTGGCATTCCTTGTTTTCGGTTGCCGTATAATTTGTCGATATTCCATGTAATTTCATTTTAAATCAGAGTTGTTTGGATGATTACAAATCCGACGTGTTCAGACTATTATGACGGAAGACAAGTTTACGTGTGCCAGGGACGTATTTTTGATTCTTTTAGTAAAACCTGTAACGGTATGATATTTTAGTGTTGGTATCCATTCATTTTTACTCTTATTTTAAGTAAAGCAAAAGAATTAGTAGCCATTTGCCTTCATGAGGCATCGTAGTGAGGTCTTCTTGAAGAAGAAAAGGAAACAGAGACAGTGAGAATTCCTTAATCCTCCATTCTTGTCACATACTCGACCTGAGTCATTTTTGTAAGTGTGGCAGAAGCATGTATGTGAAGCACGTTTACTCAATTTGCGAACTTCGGTTTCATTGGGACTACAATACATGATTTTCTTTAGCCTTAGCAGTATTATAATCTTTTTACCGGTAACTCATTACCAAACTCAACTCTTATGTTTCCGAGTGTTGAGTTAAGAGTTACTCTAGTATTTATTAAGAATAGTCATTTTTAGTCATCACTTGTGAAATCCTCTCGGATTTTTCCAGCATTTATGGCCTGCTTTCAAGTTCCTTTTGATTCTACAGAGCAGCTTTACAATCACGTTAATTTAGGATTAAGGAATTGTGGTTTGAATTTCTGTGAATTTGGCGAGATCAAATTAAACATAGTTTTCAAACTGTGAATGTTTATCACCGACATTAGGTTTACTCCTAACTTCATAATAATTCAGTCGCTAGATAAGTTTTTTCTCTTTGTGATTCAGCGATTCATTGTGGGATCGGGTGTAATCGAAGTTAGCTAGTTAGCTGAGTGGCCACTGGCCACATGGTAACTAGCGCTTCAGCTGTTTAGCTATCTCGAACCGAAAGTCAAGATAAACATCACCAAAGAGGTGGAAGGTCTCAGATATCGAAAGATTCTCAAATCAAAATTGTTCATCACCCACTAGGGGCGGAAGGTCTCAATTATCCAAGCCGTTGAAGTTAGCTCGAAAGAAGCAGCGTTAGCATCTCAGAGACGAAGTGACAAGCAACAGAAACTAAGACACTCGAACAAGAGGTCGCTTACACGGGACGTCGGCCGCCCGCACGAGAGAGACAGAGAAGGGAAATGTAATGAATTCTACCTACATAATAACTTGATGTAAGACATCCTACCTACATAATAACTTAACCTCACAACTGAGACCTGCAGTCAGACACCGCGAGCTCAACGGTGGCGCGCACAGGAACGGGTGAATTCGAAGTGCAGGACTTTTAAAAAGATATTAATTTAATCTTCTCAGGTATGTTTTATTTCCATATCGAGGTGGCAAAACGAAGTGTTCCAACCGAATCGTTGCAGATGAAATATCCTCACCTGAGACCATTTCAATTCAATACTGTACGCAGTAAGCGCCAAGCACACAAGAACTATAAGAATATGGACCGTCCTTTATGAAGGTGCGTATGGAGGTTGCGCCCTTAACGCGACCGCTCCTTCAGTACGCCACTTAGTACTCGAACATGAACGTTGAATCTATTATGATTTCACTGAGCTGTGTAGAAAGTCCTTTGTTCCATTCACTTTCATCATATATTGCCTCTGTCTATCCGCAGTCATCATTTTATGCATCTTTTATTGAAGTCGCAATTCGTGCAGACTTTCGTTTGTGCACGCATATTCTAGAAGCTGCACTGTGAAAAACTGGCATTCATTAATTATTTATGCACTCGCGCATGGGATTACTCTTTAATAAGTTTTCTCATCCACGTTGCAGCCCGTTTTCATTCACTTCCAGTTATTGTACTTATGCTGTCATTCATGCCTGCACATTGCACAACCATAAAGAACTGCACCTACTTCTCTATGCTTATGATTCATGAATTGTTCGAATATAAAGCCTATTTTCCCGATAATAAAATTTTCCCGGTTAAAGTCCTCCCAGCCTTGCCCTCCCAACAAGAAAAAACTTAATTTCTGTTGTATTTTATAAGGTAAAATGCTCATAGTTTTCGAAGTATTTAATTACTTTCAGGAAAAATGAAATCGTATGGTTAGAATACACATTTCAGAGCAAGATTACAATGGATCTTCATCGTAGTTTGTACTAAAACCAATGAAAGCTGAAAAACTCAACAAGGTCATTAACTTAGTTACGATTTCAATGACCTATTAAAATAAACATCGGGATCTTCTATGGTCATGACTGCAGTCTTCGTGTTAACGCCTGGCAAGTCGTACGCGGAAAGCTGTTCCACGAAGATATCTTCGCTTCGGTCACGCTCGCCATCCACGAGGATATCTTTACTTTGATTGTGCACGCAAAAGTCGGTCACTCGTTCATGATCGTAATTCACTTCCAGCTTGGCCGGCTCTTTATGTATGACTATTACTTTGGAAACCTTGAGGTTTTTAGGAGCTTTGTTTCTGAAAGATTTTAAAATTGCAGTGTCGATAATGGGTATGTTCTTCTGCGTACTTCGATGTGTCCCCGTTTTCGCACTCGCGGAAGTCTCGGGCAATGCGTGGGCATCGGACTCAATGGGCAGTGATTGATCTGAGCCGACGGTTTCGCGTACCGAAAAGAATTCTTCTGGTCCCTGCTCTAAATTTTCTCGTTTTGGCGCCTCTGAATGTGGCAATTGAGAACAAGTATCATTAGGCATTTCGATCGATCCTTTTTGGGCTGCAGATGCCTCCTGTGACATCGATGCAGGTACCAACATAGCTGAATTTATTGGAATTAATCGCGACGAGCTGCTCATTTGCTGAAAATTTCTAGGTTCTAAATTAGCTGTTGGAAGAGGAAATCTGTTACCAAACAGAGAAAGGGGTTTTGAAATGCTGTTAAATGCGTCGGAAGCCCTTTCACTTGCATAAACCGTCGTGGATTTTGATGAATTCTGTAGTGTAGTATTTCCTTCTTGATTCAGCTCGTTTGTCTTCATGAAGTACTCCAATTCAGTAGCTTGTTGGCTATCAGAAACGGGGACAAGTTTCGAGCATTGTCTTGCAGGATTTTTTATCACTCTAGTTGAAGACTTCAAGTTGCAAGTCGACGAACCGATCTCACCTAGAACAAGGAATGAATATAACCGAAAGAACACCAGCACATTTACGTACAAAATTTGCTGTTAAACAGAACAAGTGAAATAATTATTGAAGATGCAATACTGAAGTAAAATGCGCTGTTGCTGGTCTGTTATAATGTTCACGACACTCATGCAACAGATTTAATTAAGAAAAAGCTGAGGGGAAAAACCTGCAGACATTTAATTTTACTCTGACATTTTATTGGATCAAGAGAATGTTTGTTCATGATTTACGGTCAGAACTAGATTTTGAAAGAAATTGTTTAGCGGTGATGCAGTCGAGATGTTTCATGTTGCTCACCTGTTGGATGAGGGAAGCCAATAGTTAATTTTTTGGGATAAGTTGAGTCTGTAATTTCCGAGACGGATACAGTCGTCACGAGTTGTGCCTTCGTGGTCGATACGTTTTTCGCATCGATATAATTATTGCGGGTTGATGCCAATGCTTCCGCGTCCCAGGCATGCGATGAATTTACAACTTTCGCTGAGAGAGAATCACTCGCGTCATCCAAAACACTTGGATAAAAATATCGACAACGTTCGAAATTTTCCATTCGTGCAAGATCGATTTGCGCTTCTCGTCTCCTGAGCTTTTGTAACATTTGATGAAGTCTCATTTTAAGGCAGCGAATTTCAGACTTTTGCTGAGCGAAATTTGTTTTTTTATTAATCAGGAAACAACTCGCTCTTTGAGGAACGCCAACTCCTCTACATCTCTTACGAATCACTGCTGGGAACGATGAAGTCTCAATGTGCGATGATTGATATCCGAAATCACGAGATTCAAACGCGTCACGAAGCAAAGTAACTCCTTTTACTTTATTTTCATTTGGAGGGCAATAAATTTGTGAAGTTTCCGTAAACATTGAAGGACGGTGAGTCCTGCACTGAAACCTACGTCCCACAATACGGGATTTCTTTTTGGTGATAATACTTGAGAAGTCAAAATATCCATTTGATCGTTTGATCTTTCGAGTTTGAATGTTATAGTACGTTTTTCCGTGCTGCACTGAGAAAGTGGCTTGCTTTGCAATGTTCAAAGTTGTTGGGTGAGCCAGAAAATTTATCTCCCTTCTAGACTCTGGTTTCAAGTTCGCAAACTCAGCAACTGGCTCCATGTTTTCGGACGAAAAACGGTCATTGCCGTTTTTTGTACTAGGGAAAGCAGATGTAACTAATGCTGATTGCCTTTTGATGTGACCAGCATTTAGTAAACAACAATTTTCTCCGCGCACGGAAGCAGCCGCAGAAAGTCCAAGGCTACATTCAAGAAGTCTCTTAGAATCAGTTTTGGAATTTGCTTCCCAACTTTTACGACTCAGTGGACTGCCATAATTCCTGGTTGATTTTTCTTCAATACTTATGATGTGTTCCGTTGGTTGCCTTAAGAGAGCAGCGGCGGGATCAACGACCCCCATTTGCTTGTCCCAATTAAAATTAATCGAGACTGGAATTGATGTTGAATTTTGCGCCGTACTAGACAGGTTTTTGTAGAATATTTTACCATCAGTTTTCCGTGGATTACTAAATGGAAAGAGTGGCTTTTTCACAGTGGAATTTAAATTGGCTGGTAAAGTAGCTTTAATTTCAACATTTTTGGAAACAACATTGCTGAAATCTTTGTTAGGCTGAGACAATTGCTGCAAGCGATTGTTTGCACCAGTCAAGGAAAGAGGATTTGCCTGAGTATCACTGCGTGTTAATTTTGCAGCGTCAGGGAGTTCTAAATTTCCAATTTTGTCAATTGGAAAAGATTCACGTACATCCGGTATACCATTCTTATCGTAGGGATTTACTGTCTCGCCACTTGCATAAAAGAGGTCCTGGTTTTTCTTGCCGCGTCGAGGAGTGGAAGTGCACGCGTTATTTGATGCAAACTGAACGAACATTTTTTTATGCAATTGATCTTCACCTGCTAAATTATCCGCATTTCTACTGCCAGGTTTCTGAATTTGCTTAGCGCTGTGAACGTCCACATTTACATCATAACGAGAAAAGTTCGTACGATGTCTAACCTTAGAATCATTTGTGATTGCACTTAGGGATTTAGAGTTGATCTCATTTTTGGGCTGGGTCGACACAGGCGTAAGGCTCCACATTGGGAGCGCCTGTTGGATGAATCGCTTCAGAATTTAGAGGCACAAACGGAATAGTTTGATCATGGTGCTTTCCAAACATTCGTAAAATTGTTTTATTGCAAATATTTGATCAAAGTAAATATTTTAAAACACATGCAAGCGAAAATACTCAAAAGTGAGAACTATTTTCGAATATTCTTGAAGGTTTACATTCAGTGAAAGCGCAGCGGGAAATTGTAGTTAAATGCCAGCGTGGTACCAAATTATTGCGATATTATTTCAGCTTCCAACAATTGTTTCATCAAATGAATGATATAGAGGAAACATAGTAATTTATTCATCAATGGAACATGCGTCCATAAATTAACTAACCAGTTTGCATGAGATTTAAAAAATACCGTTGGGCTAAACATCTTACGCAAAATATTGAGGGGATTTCTGACTTAAATTACCATTCAGCATTGCATATTTTGACTAAATTTCTACTGTGGTTCAATTGTGTTCGAATCCATGGCAAAACAGGACAAATATTTGCAATGATAAATTTAATTATAATTCGGCACTTATCATTAAGAATGTTGGCATCAGAGCCTTTAACCCTCTACCGCCGTATGTCGCTATCCGGAAACATAACTTTCAAATTAAATGCGTGAACTGTTTGTTTACATAATTTCAAATTATACTTGAACTATTGACTGTAGCAACCTGAGGACGTTTTTATGCAACAGAGAACATTTTAAAGTTGTCGTACGTGGCAGCAACCATCAGTGCAAGTCATTTTGGGCTAACTAGAACCTATCCATTTTTGGGAAATAGGCTTGTGACGATATTGCTCCGGTTACTCGTGTCAGGCGGTAGAGTGTTAATTACGATACATCAGCATCTTCATAATAAACTTCATTTGTGATCACGAAAATCATCATGAAAAGACAAACATCAGAAACATGATCATGATGGTAATAGTTATGAGTTGAATGGTTAGCATGACCGTCATCAAGCTAATTATAGTACGTATGGTAGTCAGCATGACTACCACCATCATAGAACAACATAGTCAGCATGACTACCACCATCATAGAACAACATAGTCAGCATGACTACCACCATCATAGAACAACATAGTCAGCATGACTACCACCATCACAGAGCAACATAGTCAGCATGACTACCACCATCACAGAGCAACATAGTCAGCATGACTACCACCATCACAGAACAACATAGTCAGCATGACCACCACCATCACAGAACAACATAGTCAGCATGACCACCACCATCACAGAACAACATAGTCAGCATGACTACCACCATCATAGAAAAACAGGCGGCAGGCGACGTAGTACGGCCACTAGAGCGACATACCTGCAGGGAAGGCGGCAGCAGCGGCCTGCGCGCGAGGCTCGTCTTGAACCAGAGCCAGCGTCCCGCCAACTGCGACCTGAGCTCCTTCTCCTGCACCGCGCTGCACAGCTCCGCCTGCCACGGACAGGCGAGAGAGGTGGGTAGGTGACAAGGGGTAGGCAGGCGAGAGAGGTGGGTAGGCGACAGGGAGGACAGTAATAGTGCTGCACGGTCTGGACAGTAATAGAGCTGCACGGTCTGGACAGTAATAGTGCTGCACGGTCAGGACGGTAATAGTGCTGCGCGTGCTGAAATAACGGTTGGCGCTCTACTGGTTCTGGCTCATAAATTACATTCAAGTAGAATAATGTTTGCAAGTAAATCATCGCAAAAAATGTTGATAAAGTGTGAATTCATAGACATAAAATTGACGATAACTGTGACGAAAATTTTCGTTAACGATAACTTTAACAATAACCATCATTGGCGGTAACATTTACGCTAGCTCTCAATGGCGATAACTGTCATTGACAAGAACTTTGATGTTCAGACTCGACTAAAGCGGCTCCGTTCTAAAGTTTAAAGATATTTTGAAGAACTAGTGTTTTCCTACGTCACATATCTTGAAAGTTTATAGTCTCAGCTATGACCTCCAAAGTGTGTAATTCAATCCACTTTTTAGTGGCGATAATTTCCACGGCATGAACTCGAACGGATAATTTGAATTATTTATCACCAGCCATTCGTCGATGTTGCAAAGGCTTGTATTTCAGCCTTCAGGGTCGCTGTAAAATGTCTTAAATTCCAGTAATTTTAAGGAAAATTGTGGACTTGAAGCGCGTAGAGATCGACTGCCTATTGATTACCATGACCTGGTACCAGACCATATAGTACCTTATTTTTTATTATTTAACATTTAATTTTTTTATTACCATATTTTTATCGATCACGGGTCACAGCATTGTTATTTTTTATCAACGTATGCATAAAAATGGACGAATAAATGTTATATAACTACAAAACGCTCGTCTTGATGGTCTAGCAGATAACGTTCGTCTTGATAGTCTAGCAGATAACGCTCGTCTTGATGGTCTAGCAGATACCGCTCGTCTTGATGGTCTAGCAGATACTGCTCGTCTTGATGGTCTAGCAGATATCGCTCGTCTTGATGGTCTAGCAGATCCCGCTCGTCTTGATGGTCTAGCAATAACGCTCGTCTTGATGGTCTAGCAGATACCGCTCTTCTAGCAGATAACGCTCGTCTTGATGGTCTAGCAAACACCGCTCGTCTTGATGGTCTAGCAGATCCTGATCGTCTTGATGGTCTAGCAGATACCGCTCGTCTAGCAGATAACGCTCGTCTTGATGGTCTAGCAGATACCGCTCGTCTTGATGGTCTAGCAGATAACTCTCGTCTTGATGGCTGTCTCTTATACACATAGGGGTTGGCAGGCGAGAGAGGTGGGCAGGCGAGAGAGGTGGGCAGGCGAGAGAGCTGGGTAGGCGACAGGGGTTGGCAGGCGAGAGAGGTGGGTAGGTGACAGAGGGGTGGGCAGGCGAGAGAAGTAGACAGGCGAAAGAGGTGGGTAGGTGACAAGGGGTGGGCAGACGAGAGAGGTGGATAGGTGACAGAGAGGTGGGCAGGCGAGAGAAGTAGACAAGCGAGAGAAGTAGACAGGTGAGAGAGGTGGGTAGGTGACAAGGGGTGGGCAGGCGAGAGAAGTAGACAGGCGAAAGAGGTGGGTAGGTGACAGAGGGGTGGGCAGGCGAGAGAAGTAGACAGGCGAGAGAAGTAGACAGGTGAGAGAGGTGGGTAGGTGACAAGGGGTGGGCAGACGAGAGAGGTGGATAGGTGACAGAGGGGTGGGCAGGCGAGAGAGGTGGGTAGGTGACATGGGGTGGGCAGGCGAGAAGTGGGTAGGCGACAGGGGTTGGCAGGCGAGAGAGGTGGGTAGGTGACAGAGGGGTGGGCAGGCGAGAGAAGTGGGTAGGTGACAAGGGGAGGGCAGGCGAGAGAGGTTGGTAGGCGAGAGAGGTGAACAGGCGAAAGAGGTGAACAGGCGAAAGAGGTGAACAGGCGAAAAGCGAGAGAGGTGGACAGGCGAGAGAGGTGGACAAGCGAGAGAGGTGGACAAGCGAGAGAGGTGGACAGGCAAGAGAGGTGGACAGGCGAGAGATGTGGACAGGCGAGAGAGGTGGACAGGCGAGAGAGGTGGACTGGCGAGAGATGGGGACAGGCGAAAGAGGTGGACAGACGAGAAGGGTGGATAGGCGAGAGGGGTAGATAGGCGAGAGGGGTAGATAGGCGAGAGGGGTAGATAGGCGAGAGGGGTAGATAGGCGAGAGAGGTAGACAGGCGAGAGAGGACAGACGAGAGGAGTGGACAGGTGAGAGAGGTGAACAGAAGAGAGAGGTGAACAGGCGAGAGAGGACAGACGAGAGGGGCGGACAGGCGAAAGAGGACAGACAAGAAGGGTGAACAGGCGAAAGTGAATAGTGCAAGACAGGTTGCAGTCACATGCGGATAATTCACGGTCGAACGAAAACAGAGCACAGTTGAACGAGAACATGTGAGCTTTTGCAAGTTATCGTAGCCTTTGCTAAATGAAGTTACTCTGTATTCAAGATTTGTGAGTAGTTGTTGCTGGAGCCACTGTAAGAAATCGCTCTTAAAATAGGACTGCTGAGAAGTTATTGCTGCAGCTGCTTCAAAAACACCCTGAAAATAGGACTTCTTGGAAGTTGTTGCTGCAGCTGTTCCTAAAACTCACCCTGAAAAAAGGACTTCTTGGAAGTTGTTGCTGTAGCTGCTCCTAAAACTCACCCTGAAAATAGGACTCCTGGGAAGTTGTTGCTGCAGCTGCTCCTAAAACTCACCCTGGAAAATAGGACTCCTGGGAAGTTGTTGCTGCAGCTGCTTCAAAAACTCACCCTGAAAATAGGACTCCTGGGAAGTTGTTGCTGCAGTTGCTCCAAGAACTGTCGTTGAGCATCACTCAGCAGCTCCTTGGAGTTGGCACTGGAGTGGGATCGTTGCTTGCAGTGTTGCCACACTTGGAGCAATGGACTGCACTCCACCACGCATTCCACCTGGGCAAAAATTATCCAAATATAACCATTATTCCAGTATATATGCCAACTGAAAAAATTATATTACCGTCAATCAACTCGCTGTACACTAAGTATCTATATTTACGTGACAGCATTGCATTATACTTGCCACGCTACATAAATCAGACATAGAAGAAATTCACGCATAATTTCTATCACACGGCACATGTATCAAAGATCCTAAAGCGAAACTAGTGAAAATTGAAAATTCATGCAGGATTTTTAGGAATCTGATAAGTATATCATAGGTAAAAAATTCTAGTCATAAATAAATTTTAGTTTTAAACCAGCCAGGGAAATTGATTAACTGCGATCAGAATTCCTTGCCAGTAAACTATGGTATTAGGGATAACCTTAATTTATTCATAAGAAAAAATTTATTTTGTAAGGAATATGTAAATATCTCCTGCCCGGCTTCCTTGAAACGAATTATATTGAATTAAATTCGCAATAGTGAAGTGAAACATAAACATGAACATATTATGCAATCGTAATACGGTACTAATAATAGTTAATAGTTATAGAAAATGAAATGAAATTTATCTCTCAAATAAATCAGAAAAATATTGCTCGCGTTAGACTGCGCTGTACGGAATTCAAAACCATGCGAATTAAAATGCGTTGTTTGAGATTTAAAGATTTGCGAGTTAAATGCATGAAATAAAATCGATTGATAATATAGTTGAAGGAAAATTATTTTTTCATTTAAGTCGTTATTTTTCTAACTTAATTTTTTTCTTTTTCATATTGAGGAGAATCGATGGCAAACGAAACTAGTTTCTTGAAAACGAGTTTCCTGGAAATTAGATTTTCTGCATGCGCTTGTTCTTCTCATTTGGGAAACTAGTTCCAAAATAATAATAATAATTCTTACTAAATAATTATCAATTGCTTACAAAAAATTTCAGAACCATAGGGCCGGCAAAAATAGAGAGCCACAAAAATTATTCAAGAATCGTTGAATCTTATTATCGAGCATAAAATTCATACCAGTAATGAAGCGCATGTTAATTAACTCGATAATTTTAGAATTACAACAAAATGTCCACAAATAGGTTTGTATTTACAGCCATACTCATAATGTTAACAATAGAATTGAATTAAGTATTGGAAACTGCACCCCGTAAAAGCCTGGCCGAGGTCCAACTGTGACAAGTTAATTACTAAAGTTCGAGGCTAGCTTAATATCGAGAGTGGATACAACAGGTAGGCGGCTGATCACAATCCTGCCTCAATTACAGCCACTCTTTGCCAAGATTGCTTTCACTCTGAATTATTAAGCTGACAATCTCCTGGGCTTACCCGCCCTCAGTGACATCAAAGAGCTCAGCTCGCACGAGTCTTTGTTGTAAAAGCGGCGGCGAATTGAGCGAGTTCGGACAACACGTACCTCGGTTCTATGTTATGCAGGGCACAGTGGCAGAGTTCTTTAAATTAACTGCGACCTTTTGAAGTTAAGAAATAATAGCTATGTTTTAATTTATGCACGTTATGGAAAATCTCAAACTCGAATAGCGTTGGTCTCTTGAAGGTAAAATTATCGCTCGCCCTCCGAAGCTGTGATAAATTTAACGGAATACAAATGAGCAGAGTAGTTAATCCACTATCTAGGTAAATTCAGACCATTCAAGTCGACCAAGATTTACGAAGAGTTACAGTATATAAATCAGGTCGAAAGAACATAAACTTTTCTATTTATTTTTGCATAATAATTATTTCATGACACAAATTAACAGAAATCGAAAGAAATAGAAATCTAAAATGATCTAAAGTGCGTGAAGGAATCTAGAAATATCCACTCCTGTCCGAATGACGATATCGTGAAACTATTCAGCTATAAACGAGTGTTATGAAAGTAGCTTTAGAGATAAATTGTGTTATTTTATTAATTTATTTTAGTTTGCGATCACTTACGACAGCTCTGTTGAGAGTGAAGAGCCGCAAGCTTTCGAAAGCAACCGTGAGTCTGATGAGGAGTTTCACCGACACTCGCTGGTCATCGTCGGTCAGCTGTAGGGCTTGGGACTCCTGAGGTCGACCTCTGCAGTCGCGGTCGAGCTCGAACTCGAAGACAAATAGTCTGGAGGAGAGTGGGGTACAGGAGTAACTAGTAAGAAATTTGAGTAACAATTAAGACGTGTGAGTAACAAGTAAGACGTGTGAGTAACAAGTAAAACGTGTGAGTAACGAGTAAGACGTGTGAGTAACGAGTAAGACGTGTGAGTAACAAGTAAGACGTGTGAGTAACAAGTAAGACGTGTGAGTAACNCTGTCGCCTCGGAGTTTCCGAGCAACTGTCGCCTCGGAGTTTCCGAGCAACTGTCGCCTCGGAGTTTCCGAGCAACTGTCGCCTCGGAGTTTCCGAGCAACTGTCGCCTCGGAGTTTCCGAGCAACTGTCGCCTCGGAGTTTCCGAGCAACTGTCGCCTCGGAGTTTCCGAGCAACTGTCGCCTCGGAGTTTCCGAGCAACTGTCGCCTCGGAGTTTCCGAGCAACTGTCGCCTCGGAGTTTCCGAGCAACTGTCGCCTCGGAGTTTCCGAGCAACTGTCGCCTCGGAGTTTCCGAGCAACTGTCGCCTCGGAGTTTCCGAGCAACTGTGGCCTCGGAGTTTCCGAGCAACTGTCGCCTCGGAGTTTCCGAGCAACTGTCGCCTCGGAGTTTCCGAGCAACTGTCGCCTCGGAGTTTCCGAGCAACTGTCGCCTCGGAGTTTCCGAGCAACTGTCGCCTCAGAGTTTCCGAGCAACTGTCGCCTCGGAGTTTCCGAGCAACTGTCGCATCACGGCGTCAGCGGAAAAGCTTCAGTAATGCTCATTTAATGACGGGGAGAAAAGCTATAAAAAGTGAATGTTCTAAGAACTTTCAATAGCATAAGTTGCAAGTTAAGGCAAGTCTGATAAATAATTCTTGTGAGAAATGTAAGCCTTTAGATGATATTAGTAACTTTATTATATGCGTAAACGTATTTGAGTGGAAAATTTCATCTTAATCGACTGATACGTTTATGACCCGAGGCTATTATCAGAGATTGGAGGAATGCAGAAATATTGGAGAATATATTTAACGGTAAAATCTCAACAAGTAGTGTATTATGTTTTGCTGCAATAGCAACACATTATTGCACTATATTTTAATATTATTTGCAATGATTACACCCTAAAAAAGGCAATTTAGTTCAATGACGGTGTACAGAAGTTGCAACAATATTTTGAAATAATTTAGACGAGACCGGAATTCAAAAATTGTATTAATATTACACAACTTATGAATTGATGACGTAGAAACTATGATCTAAAACATCGAAACTATCAACGAGTTACGATACGCTAGACTGATTTATTACATGGACTATAATTAAGAAATATTAGTAATCGAGATGATATGTAATGTAAAACACTTACTTATCCTGGAAAAACGTCGTCATGGTTGGATATTTGCCCTTAAGTTCGTCTGCCTTGACGCGACAACAGCCGATCTGGAAATGTCGTACGTTGTGCTGCAGGATTGGACGGCGCTGTGAGCTGCAGCGTATTGCTGACTCAGCTCCCGTCTCGCTGAAGAGGACGAGCTCTACAACAGGAATCAATTAGTGATGGTAAATGCCGCGAAATTGGCGTCGAAAGAAAGGTTAGATTCAGTTTCGGTTAGAAGCGAAATCCTACAATATTATCGTTCTGTTTTTAATTGATCATAAACGCCACTTTATTGTTAGTATGACATCAATAATGGTAGAAAATAACCAAAATTAATTTCACGAAGAACAATTTAAAGGAACCTTTTGATATAGAGCTTAAAGCTATCTTTATACGGGCCAAAAAGAATAAATCAAAGCGAAATTTTCAAATAATTATCATCGCAAGATTTAAAGCCAATTTACACAGATTACGAACAGCGATGTGGTTGCTGTATTAAGTCGACTAAAATATTTTACCTCTCTTAACTTTCTCCTTGAGATGACGCCATCGGGCCTGAGCTTCCTTAGAAGACTGGTGAGGGTTAGGCAATTTCGGATCAGGGTTTTGAGTGGTTTTAGCATTAGCGTCCTTAATGCTGGCATTTTTCTTTGCTTCATTTGAAATTGCTCCAAAATTATTGTTAATTTTCTGTTGTTCCTCGTCAGATCTGCGTAGTGGCAGTGCAGAAGAAGATTTTGAAATCAAAGAATTGAATTCGTATTCATTTCGAAAGGAATTAGTTGAAACGTTTGAATTCGTATGCAATTTGTATTTTTTCAAGTTTTGATTCTCGTTAGAGTTGGTTAGACTTATCCTGTGCAGTGGATCAAGATTAGAAGATTTTTTCGAAACGTCTATTAGATCCTTCTTTATTTTTGGTTCTTCAGACGGCCGCAGTAAATCAGACGGTAATATTGGAGTGACTGCTGAAGACGTGGAAGAATCTCTAGAAATAATATTAGGTTTCGGCCAAGATGAACCATGCTTAGAACAAAAGGAAGTTTTGAAAGATGCGCGTGCAGTTGTGTAGAAAGCTGTCTTCGCCGAACCTAAATTAGCGTAACCAGAGGATGGGGGAATATCAGGATTTGAACCATTCCTGCCGGTGAAGGAATGACAGGGTTTGAATTTTTCACAAAATTTTGTAGTTTCTTTCCTTGATAGAGCGTCATTCGATAGGAAGGTATCAGCAGAAGAGTTATTACGAGGCTTTGAAACCAAGTCAAACCTCACTCTAGGGAAATCCGTGCCTCCGACCCCACAAATTGGATCACTTGGTAATTCGAGGTTTTCTTTACCAGTTGCTTGAAATGTCGACGTTTTCTGTGAATAATCTCTTTGCTGATCAACATCGTTAAATATTTCTCTTATTATGTCATCAAGTACATCTCCTCTTGGCTCGGAACTGCTGTGACAAGCAGTGCTCTTGATGATCTCTGGATAATCTGCATTATCGATCCCAGAAATATTCTGATCAGCATGCAGTTTTGACGAGCCACAACTTTCAATTTCCCCGGAATATGTGGGAAAATTGGTATCACGATTCTCATTTGAAATGAATGGATATTTGATTGAGTATTGAACAGATCCTTCTTGATTAAACACCGAATAGTTGACACGCCGATTATCTTCATCTATACTACATTGCCTTTCATCGGAGTGTGGGACAAAGATTGCCGACGAATTTTTTGCTGAATTCGCGATTTTGTCTGAAGGGCTGCTAAATGTTACTTGACGTTTAGGTCTTTCAGTGGGTTCTTCTAGGAGTGAATCCTTTGCATTCAGAGTATTATCACACGCAGAAATAATTTGCTTTTCTGTTCCTGCAGGGATGCTGTTTACTGTATCATTTAAATATTTCCCTGATGCTGAGACTGATCCATCATCACTAGCTCCTAAATCAGGAAACTGAAGACTGTCACAGGAATTATTGGCATCAGCATTTGGTTTGCAGGACTGCGGACAGCTTAGTTCAGCAGCAAGTGATGTTTTCCCCAAGTCAGAACTTTGACCGTTTGATCCTGGTAAAAAACGCTGAGGTGGAGCTTGAAGTTTGGGGCAAACTTTCTTCTTCTTGGCCGTGTCGATAAACGAGGAATGACTGTGGTCGAAATTTGAAGTTTCTCGGGGCATCTTCAACGGTTCAACTTCTTCATGCAGACCTTGGTTTTCTGGATTTTGATGGGCAGCCGCAGAATCATTATGTTCAGGACACTTAAGATCGAAATTGTTAGAAAACGGAAGTTTTGGTTCCTGGTTCAGCAAACGCGATGTCTTTGTTTCATTTAGTTTCTGATCGTCATGGTTACCGAGTGCCTGTTGATTTGGCGAGACTACCGCATGAACAGAATCATTGTGCCCTTTCTCAAGTCTCTTGAAACATTTCTCTGGCGAAGCATTAGTAAAATCGTAACTATTATCGAAGAGGCGGGCTAGATATGCTCCTTCAGTTGCAGCTGCCGTTAGTTTTTGTGCAGGATTTTGAGGCAAATTCGTTTGCATCGTTTGAATTTCCAACGATTGTAAATTTTCCTTTGTTGCTTTATCAACGAAATGCTGCTGTGAGATATTGAATTCAACATCCATTCCGGAAGTTTCAGAAGTTTCTTCCTCATTAGGAAAGTCATGAGTAGTAAACTTTTTACCGTTTGTTTCATCCGATCTCGAGTCGATTGCTTCCTTCTTCAAATACGAAAATGAAGCAATTTTACGGCTCGGGGACTGATTTGTGTCATATAAGGGATGATTACAAACCTTAGTTGAAATTGGTTGGTCTGAAGTAGGATGTCTAAAATCGGTAGATGGAATTGGTTTGTCTGATTTAGGATAAAAAATACTGTTAGATGGAATTTGTTGGCCAGAGGTAGAGTGGCAAATGTTGGGGGATGTAACTGGCTGGTCTGCGGTATAAAAACCAATGTTGGGAGATGTAAATGGCTGGTCTGAGATATGAAAACCAATGTTGGGAGATGTAAATGGCTGGTCTGCGGTATGAAAAACAATGTTGGGAGATGTAAATGGCTGGTCTGAGATATGAAAACCAATGTTGGGAGATGAAACTTACGACCACCGTAAGAATGTTTGACGCAGTATAGGGCAGAGATGCGGGCTTGGGCTAAACTTACGACCACCGTAAGAATGTTTGACGCAGTCTAGGGTCGGTTATCGACCAGCTGACACTGCCTTGCAGTGGCTGCATTGCTGAGCGCTGAATCGTGCAAGTATGTCTCCCGCATGCATGTTGCGTGCACAATGTGAGTACACCAGCCTTATCGTGCACAGTAGAATATTTACTTACGTGCATGTTTACTTAATACTTAATATTTACTTACGTGTGAGTACAGATGTGCGTACATGTATGTACTGTACTTCCACGTACACGCTAGCAAAAATTATGTATTATCAGGCATGAGCATGCGTGGATAACGCGAAGTTTCTAATGCATAAAAAAGTCTTGACTCGCAGAATATAGAGAACGAATAGATGATACATAGATGACACATAGATGAAACATAGATGACACATAAATGACACATAGATGACACATAGATGACACATAGATGACACATAAATGACACATAGATGATACATAGATACGTCACTTATGAATGCTCGATCGAACACATGTACAGCAGAGCCCGTTTGCAACATATACTCTAGCACGCAAAATTATGGATATGAACTGTATTTTAAACACATAATTTTTCATATTACAATTCACATAAATACTAAAGTTTACAAAATAAACGAGCTGAGCTGGATAATGTATTACCTAGTAATGAAGGCTTAGACGATCATTTAAGGTTTCACCCTTATGTTTATTTTTCATTCGGCCTGTTAGGGGAAATCTTAAATTAAGAGTGAAATATGATGAATTTTGTAAGAAGCGAAATCTTGAATTAAAAATGTCAAATCTTTGAGGAAACTTCAATTTTTTAGTGGAAACTAAGCCAATTTGGCGCTTAAAAAGAACTGGCAGTTTCAATTTTCTGGCTTCTGTAAAATTCGGAAGCTTGATGCGATCGCTCCTGGAAATTCTATCATCGAACGTAAATTCAACGATGAACGTCGGTTCGGGTTTCCTGTTTTCGTTAGAAGGCTTCGGAGTTACTATCTCGTCAGGATTTTCCAAGATTGGCGATCATTTTTACAAAAATACGACCGATATATTTGACCAGACTGTCGATTAATATTTTTCATTATGAATTGATGAGGCCAACCGGACAAAGGACGAGATAATTTTTTATCTTACGATCGCGTGAGAAATCCCGATGACTTGGTTGAAGACAGAGTTTTTTTTGCTATCAAATGATTTTTATTTCCTATTTGGCCTCGAGATCTTCCCTCTATTTTCTTAGGTGCTGGGCCAGCTTTTAATTTGCCATGATGGCTCCTCAAAGCGCAGATCCAAAAATCCTGCTGAGTAATTATGCAAGCTTTGCATTTAGGTACCACGATTTAATTTTCAATTCATTTCGAATTCATTTCGACCGTCGATCTTTGTTTGCCAGAAACGATTTTGCCATTGATGTTTTTCTTTTCTATCTCAGCTGTATTTTGCCTCGAAATTTTTTGGACAGAGCTAATTGGTTCGCATAATTTCATTTTGAGAAGTAATTTTTATTAAGACTTTTTCAAGTTGTCGAAAGAATTCTTTTTTCATTGAATCAGTCATTCATCTATGTGGGTGTCAAAGATAATCTTTGCCAGTGGAGTACTTAGGCAGAGATATAAGAATTTAATACTACTACTACTGAATTTAATAATAAATAAATTTCAATTTAGGCAGAGATTTGAACATATGAATCATAATACTAAAAAGTTAATAAATAATTAACTTCATGATTATTTTAACCAAATAAAATCTCGCACAACGATCGGATCTAAAATATCATGAGATGCAAGAGATTTACCTGTGCTATTAACTGTACGTGCAACTGGAGACTTGCAACCTTGCAGTTTTTGCCTGACATCTTCCTGATTGCTTCATTTGTCGATGTCGACTTCCAATTATATATTGAAAATATTGCAACCAGTGGGATCAGACAAAGATAGTATGGCAGGACTGCAATTGATGAATGTAGTTGGCTTCTTTTTACTTATAAACTCTTCATAATTTGATGATCAGAGGAAAACATAACTATAAAATAAAATTAATATACAAAATAAAATATGATGGATTACCAAAGCGATCGCGCTTTATAAGCCTAATGATTTTATATTCACAATATTTAGAGAAATAAGAAAGTGTTCCGAAATGAGAACTTGGCGCTTCTCCGATGTTCACGTAGAATTTTTATATTAATATATGTGCTTTTCTCTTAAATCTAGAAATTTTAAGAAATATTCTCTTTCTTGTGGCTTTGGAAAAAACTAAGACTGAACTATTTTGCCATAGTTTATTAGCAGGAGTTTTTTCTCTAAAATTAATAAAAATTGGCGGCCTAGTAGGAATTGAAAAGAGAATTCTATCCCGAAATTCATAACTTTTAATTAAAAATAGAAAAAATTGATAGCATGCAGTTGCCATAGTTTCCAACAGTCAAAGTTATATAAAGTTTTTCGTAATGAAGGTGGTCATAACGAGCTGCCGTGCATCTTCGCGAGCAGTCATGGTGTTGATGTTTGCAAAAATCAATTAACTTTCAACTGCAATATTTAGCTCTTATCTCAACTGTGCACGTATTTCCCGTTGTTTTATCAAGTTTTAATTTTTTCTGGGAAGTGCCAGGCTTATTTTGAGCTGGAGGGCAAAGCTCTAACCTGAGACTACGGTGGTCAGCTCTGGCCTCAAAATCTCCTCTCTGACCGTCTCTTTCTCAGAGAGGCTCTGGCCTCACCATCGCTTCTCTGACCCATCTTTTTCCTAGGTAGGCTCTGGCCTCACGATGGCCTCTCTGACCCAATTTTTCAGAGTGGCTCTGGCCCTGTCTCTTATACACATCTAGATGTGTATAAGAGAGCAGGAGTATTCTGGTCGGGTGTAGCCGGAGTATTCTGGTCGGGTGTAGCCGGAGTATTCTGGTCGGGTGTAGCCGGAGTATTCTGGTCAGGTGTAGGCGACGAATTCTGTTCAGGTAATGAGAGGGAACTTGAATCTTCTCTCCGGATTTTTCGACACCTCTCGTTTCTAAAGTTTCCAGTGGAAACAAACTCTGAATTATGTGAACAGTTAGCCGGCAGCTCGCGATAAGATGCCTGAAAGGAGCATTTGTACTCTCCTTCAAGTGACTCAAGCATCCTCTTCCATGATGCTTTCGGACCTCCTTCTTGCTGCTCATTTTCTCTTTGATCATTGGTTTTTTGAAGTGGCAATCTATGCTCCAGTTGTTCAGTGTAGTTAGCATGAACCGTGTCCTGGTCAGTATTTAGGGTGTCGCATTCTTGGATGAGCGCATGGCACTCAAGTGAGCACGATCCGTCATTCAAAATTGAATTTTCGTGAATTAAAAATTCGTCCATGAGATCATGTGTTGAAGATAACCTCTGAGAAAAACCTGAATATTGTTCGCTTGCCTTAATTTTCGGCAGAGGTTTAAAATTTTCTGAGAAAAAGCGCTGATATGTTGGTGTTGATGCTGATGATGACAATTCTTGAGGAAATGAAGGATGTGACTGATTGATGGATTGGATTATGAATTCATTTGAAGGTTCTTCTTGAATTTGTGATGACTGATTTGACGACACAGATGATCTCGTACACGAATTCTGTTGCGAAGTGTTGAAGCGAGTTGGAGACGCGTCTGGAGATTGATTGTTGCAAATGGATCCGGGATTTGAAGATACAGATTGTTTGCACTTTTTTTCCATAGAATTAGGGCGATGAACGTCGAAACATTTTGGCTGAATACGTGATTCCAAGTGCTGTTCTTGATAATAAAGCACTCCAGTCTCTACTGAAAAAGAATCATTTAACTCTTCATTAGGTGATCTATGGACTGATGAATAATTTTCAAATCTACTAATTAAATTCAAGTCCTCATTAGACTTATCCGATGATATTTCACCTGCTATTGAAACTTTGAAAACAGAGAGAAAACTTGAAGTCGAATGAGCTTCCTGAGCACATCGATCGCTCATCAATATTCTTGTTGGGGCTAAAGTGCTGGTGGGAGAAGCGTTCACGGCCGAGAGATTGGGAGCTTCTGATGTCAGACTTGGAAAACTTTCAAATTCGCCGGCGATGAACTCACGATCTGGGTGGGGCCCAGAATTTGGGAAGTTTGCGAGAGATTCTGCCTCGACTAGTTGACGGCGTGATCTTTCGGGAATTTTTGTCGATAACTTTTTCGATTCTGTGGGACTGGGACAAGTATTCTCAATATTTTCCGGCTCAATTAAAATTCCAGTCAATAAAGTCGGAAGCTTTATCAAATCACATTCTGACTTCAAGCAAGGATGTTCTTCAGTTTCTCCGAGTTCGTTTTCATCCTTCGAATGAAATTTATCATCTTTCATCCACTTGCTTTTTGACTTAGAACTTGAGGCGTCCATTACATTAGATCTGTGTGGAAGTGAAAGACAAACGGACTCATCATCCCTATTTTTACGCATTTTCTCAGATTTCGAATGAAGCTTGCATGGTTCCGGTGGCAGTAAATTTACACTGGTAAATGCAGGTGTACAATTTCCATTTGAAAACGAATGCCGTTCGCCCAACCGATTTTCATCTTTTTTAGTCCTTAGCGAATTTTCAGAGCGCGATGACCGCAAAAAATTTTCAGTCTCCTGCCGTTCTTGAGCCCTCAAGTCAGAAAGGGAATCAATTAGGGGCTCACTTGAAATATTCGGTACAGAATCGTCCAAGTGAGCTCTGAACCAACCGTCGCTATCATGGCTGGAATTTCGGGCGCTGGTAACGCAGAAAATTGGCATTTGTCGAGTATCAAAGCCGCAATATCCTTCTTCTATATTTGAACATTTATTTAGAGTATCCTGTGACGCTACGCTGTGCCTGATCACATAATTATTCGGATCCTCATTCAAATCCAATATTTTTCTATCACAGAAGCTGCCTTGGTCGCAATATGACGAGTAATAATTCTGTTTATTTAAATAACCAGCGTAATGGCTGTACGATATGCCGCTTACGCTGCTGAGTACAAGACTTCCTCTCGGGGACGACAATTCGTTTTCATCAGCACTTCGATCAAGCAGAAGTGAATGATCGAATGCGAAACCGACTTCAGGCTCAAACGCATCAGGGATTATTATTTCTGATCTCAATATGCTATCGTCTACATCGATTACCTCTTGGTCCTCATACGGGTCGTAGAAAGGAAAAGAGTGATCATCTGAAGATTTTAGCACTTTATCTATTAAGTAATTGGTGTCAACAAATGGCAATGTATGTAGTTCACTTAGATCTCTGGAAGCGTAGTACGGTAAATAAGTTTGAGGCTCGCTAACATTAGGACAAAAAGACGAACTTCCTGATGGTTGGGCAAAGAAGATACTGCCTTTAGTAACTTCCAGTCCTCGTCCTGGAGTGAGAGGTGCTCTTGGAATATAATCATTGTCTTCGCTTTCTGATTCCTCCTGGACTTGCATTTGACAACTGGAATGTTGGAAGCCGTAGCTTGATTTCAACCCATTTTCTTGTTTTTCGCAAACTATTCTCGTACTCTCTATGCAAACATCAGTCGAAAAAATTATTTGCACGCTCTCTTCTGTTGAAGACCCATTATCTAGGATTCTTTTTTTCCTGCCATCAGCTGGGAATTGATGTGAAGAATAGTTTTTTGCTGCCAACGTGCTTGCATAAGTCTTTTTACGGTATTGGTTGTTGACAGCAGGTGCACCGCCTGTATCAAAATATCCAGTGTTTATTGCAGGTGCACTGCCTGCATCAAAAGATCCAGTGTTTATTGCAGGTGCACTGCCTGCATCAAAAGATCCAGTGTTTATTGCAGGTGCACCGCCTGCATCAAAATATCCAGTGTTTACTGTAGGTGCACCGCCTGTATCAAAATATCCATTATTAACCGCAAGTGCACCGACAGCATCCAAGTTTCCAGTGTTGACCGCATGTGCACAGCCTGCATCAACGTTTTCCGAGTAGACAGCCCCTGCACCTTCAACAAAAAAGTTTTCAGTATCGTGAACGTGTTTTCTTTCAGCGCATTCGATGTAGTTATCTTCTAAATGATGCGTAGTCATTGCTACTCTATGATGATAATGGTCGACAAAACCGTTTTCCCTTAACCTAAGGTCTCCGAGTACAGATTTTACTGGACATCGGCCAGGCTGGACCAGATGTTCATTTTGTCGCTTTCTAGCGGCTGTACGTTTCCGATTGTTTCGGCGACGGTTGCCGTATGGTTCCCTTTCTGGTTGATGGTGTTCTGAATTCTGTTGCAAATTTCGAGTTAATTTTCGACTGCCATCATTGAAATGTGAAGTGGCGGAAATTTTGTCCTCTTTACCATGTACAAATTTTCGAGTCTTGGAGAATCTATTCCTATTTTGGTATTCATTTTCATCGGAATCTTCTGACGGTCGTTTGGTTCTCTCCCTGGTTTGGTTCTCTCTCTCTTTGGTGTGGAGCTCTTTTACTGCTGGGGTGTAATAATACTCGGGAGAATCTGGGATGGGGACTTTAGGCAAAAACATGGAAATCGGCAGAAAATTCTTACCAGGAGTCGGTGGCTTACTTGGCTGAATTTCATCTTCATCGTCTAAGCTCATGCGATCGTCATCAAAATCTTGCCATGGAGGGCGAATGTAGGCCTCATTTTTGCGGTAATCATGCTCAGGAGTTTTTGGATTGTCGTAACACTCTTCATCTTCAAAGTTATTGAATTTTAATGCAGATGTCCTCTCACCAATTCTTCCTCGATCCTCAGCAAGTAGGTTTACTGTCTCTGTTAAACCTCTTGAATTAGTTTCCTTCTTCTCTGTTGTGCTAACAGGAGAGTACAGAACTTCTACTTCTTCACATTTTCCTAGAATTAGTGGGCGATTCACAAGCCATTTTATGCTGAAATCACTCGGTTCCGTAAGGTCCGACAGAAACACTGATTTTGTGTTATCCCTCCAGCTTTCATTGACTGGCTCAGCTTGAGTATAATTTTCACCTCTTGCTGACGTTTTGCTTGCTGGTGCCACAGAATTACTGTCTGACATTGACTGGACTACATTAGATTCAATAATAGATTCCTTTTTTCTTGACCTTGTACTATCTTTGCGATATAAAAGCACATCTCTTATCGCTTCAGTTTCTGGTTGCAATGTCGTTGGTGCAGGGGGGCACTGAGCTTCGGCACGATCTGGTCGGAAATAATAAGAGTGGTTGCGTTCACTAGATACGTTCCTGGAATGTGGAGAATGTTTACTGCAGGAGAATAAGTGGTATGGAAATAAAGAGGTAAAAGTCTCGCAGAAAAAAATTAGGGCAATAGAAAAAGGATCTCTAGAACAGAAGAAAAAAAAAACAAGGGCTCAATAGCAGAAGAATGAAAACAAGGGCTCTATAGCAGAAGAATAAAAACAAGGGCTCTATTGCAGAAGAATAAAAACAAGGGCTCTATTGCAGAAGAATAAAAACAAGAGCTCTAGAACAGAAGAATAAAAACAAGAGCTCTAGAACAGAAGAATAAAAACAAGGGCTCTAGAACAGAGGAATAAAAACAAGGGCTCTGAAGCAGAAGATAAACAAAGGCTAGAGAAAAGACGAATAAAAAATAGCTCTTGAACACAAGAAGAAAGAAAAGGGCTCTAGAAGAGAAAAAAGAAGAAGGCTATAGAAAAACACACGTGCCCTAAAAAATTAAGGGCCATGAAAATTAAGGCTATAAAAATCCGAGTTATGAAAGTATAGACATGAAAGCATGGACTACAAAATCTAGGACATGAAAATAATGGCCATGAAAGTAGGGATGCAAAAATAAGGCCTATGTAAGTAAGGGTATGAAAATAAGTGCGCACTTACTTGACTATACATAATCGGGTTGCATTCTGGATACCAATTAAGAGCAGAGGGTAAATTCAAAGTACCAACAAATGGTGAGGGAATGTTCAAGTGGATGAATAAAAATTTTTAGTCGTAAAAGAGAATATTTTTCTCGTAATTTAACTCTCAAACCTACAAGGAATTCAACTTCTAGGCTGGAGGGAAATTCAAACTTTCAGTGCTGATAACACTTTTGCCTCGCGTTTACTTGCATCCATAGTAAAATAGTGTGGCTGTAATACGGCTTGAGGTTTTTCCTAGCACATCCTCATTCGACGGTATAATAACTTACGACGTTCCTAAATGTAATCGTAGTAACTGATATTCTTATTATTGTTGATGGATATATGTAGCTGAAAAGTAAATGCTCAAGCGTTGAACTTCAAATTAAAAACCTCACCGTGCCTAACCTTGATTATTGCACAGAAATTTAGAACAGCTACTTACGGTTTTTTGTCCGTTTCTTTTTCTTCTTTTTCTTTTCTTTTTTCTTCTTCTTTTTAACAGAAGAAGCTGAAGCTTTTTCGTTCTTAGTCGCTTTTGACAATTTCTGCGAGGACGATCGCTGCTCTGAGCGCGGAGCAAATGCATTGGTTTCGTTGTCAAATTTCACGACTTGGCTCGATTCATGCGAAACTTGTTTTTGAAAGGCAGGTTCTTGAAAGCCAAGTTCTTCAAACACAGGTACTTCAAAAGCAGGTTTTTCAAATACAGGTTCTTCAAATACAGGTTCTTCAAATACAGGTTCTTCAAATACAGGTTCTTCAAATACAGGTTCTTCAAATACAGGTTCTTCAAAAGCAGGTTCTTCAAAAGCAGGTTCTTCAAACACAGGTTCTTCAAACACAGGTTCTTCAAACACAGGTTCTTCAAACACAGGTTCTTCAAACACAGGTTCTTCAAACACAGGTTCTTCAAACACAAGTTGTCGGTTGACGCGAGACAGCTGAGCTGCCGCTTCAAGCTGCTCGCGCATACGCCGTTTGCGTCCCATTTAACCGAAATTTGTGGCCTGATCTGAACAAAAAATAATTAATCAGAACTTACTTAGAGCCTAAAAATATTCTGACAAAAGGTTGACCATCAAAAACCTAATAGAGCTCCGTCAACAAGAACCTAATAGAGCTCAACCAGCAAGAACCTAATAGAGCTCAACCAGCAAGAACCTTATAGAAATTGTCAAGATGGGCACCTAGCTTTATTCTAAGCCTAATCAAATCCTTCCATTTTTTATCAATAGAATTTCACGGACCAAAGTTTAGGCAAGATCTAAGATGATATAACTTAAAGATGCTCATTATCAAAGAATACTGAATACATTTCTATATTTTACTAAATTTTATGTTAAGAAAATCAATGATTGAATTCTAGAATCGAACTTAGAATGATCAATTAAAAGTCACTATTAGGTTCGTCTTAAAAGTAATATTCATTATTTTTAAACATCCATTAATAAGTACCCCTTACCCTGGCAGTAGATAAAAACCTTGAAACTGGGGGAATTGCGTTGCTATTCTACGACGCTCATCCTTATGGCTTGAAAATTTTAGCGCCGGCGTGAAATTCTTACCCGCTAAAAAATACGAAGTTAATCTGTGGGGAAAAACTTTCTGCTTAGTGTTGCCTGGTAAACGTAGTTTTCCGTCTTTCTGGAAACGACCAAAATTTGAACAAATTAGCAAAGTTTGCGTGTCTAAAGAGGATTTCGCACTGTAAAAACTTGATTCATAGAACTGAAGTAAAACCTAGCTATAAATATTCGAGTTAAAACGTGATTAAATTTCGAATAACAATCCGAATTTCAAGGAATTCCGGGTCAGACGAGATGCATCCAGTCCAGCTACCAGGTACTTACTTCAAACAATTACATCGTCATCTATTAGCCTATACTGACTTATTTTGATGTGCTTTACTTTCAAGTTATATAAATATTTGATTAATTTTACTAATAAAAATAAACTATCATCATTTGCCCTGTTTCTTATTGCCGTTCGCCAACTAGAATTCCTATTACACGAACAGCAATAACGGCCGATAGCTACCTTGTCCTCGACTATCCTCGTACGCATTGCGTGTGATCAGCATTGGTCATAACTATTCACTCAGTACGGGACGACTAGCGAGGCGTGCATGCGTTCAAACTTCAAACTAATACAAACTTAGTCAGGTAGACATTAGGTTTAGCGACTCCCGATCAGAGTTTCATTCCTTTAATCCTTAACTAAACAGGTTTCCACATGAATGAACTGAATTTCGTCCAGAGGATGCACAAGAAACGTACTTACGAATGTTGGAAAATATGGATTATGAGGATTACAATAGTACGTCTGCACTGTCCTGCAGAACAAATTTTTCAGAGGTCAATGCGGGTCTTCAGAAATTCATGAATTATAGTATTAAACGACGCATGCTAACGCGAAGATTACCATATGTTGCATTAACATTAGTAAGTACACTTGACCAGCTGTTGCCGAACGTTCATCTGATCAAGTAACACTGGAATTAGCTTCGAAATTATTGATTCTTCCTCCCAGCATTCGACACTGCATTGATATCCCAAACGCTGTAAACGCTTGCCACTTCACTTGTTCATTGAAAATAAAATACAATCTAATTGTGTAACTTGCATATCGTTGGCACGTTAAATAAGAGCCCTGAACGAGTGTTATACACTAATATGGAATATGAACACCACCTATTCTTCTTCGTTTCAGGGTGTCCATTTGGGGTGGACTTTAAGTCACTTAACCACAATGATGACCGGAATACCATCCGTGAACGTGACTAAACCCCGTTTTCTTTCTGAGGCTTAATTTGTAGAAAATCGGACATAGACTAAAAATTTAGTGAAAATCGACGTAGTGGAAAGGAAACCGACACCTGAAACCTAAGCTTGGTGAATTGTATTTCCTAAGTTGCGGTTCAGTCTCGAACTGGGCAAAACTTGGCTTTAAACTGACTTACACGGGTTCTACAGAAGAAACGTAAGGAAGTTCAGAATCGTGCATCCGTTTCCAATGTATTATGTTTTCTGCGTGAAAAGATAGAATGTTTGAAAAAATGAGAAATGCGATATTGGATTAAAGTGTTGTTGTATATTTGAAATACCGGTGAAACTATAGCGATGTCTGCCTTACTGTGCGTCTATGGCATGCTTAATAATAAGATTTAATGATAAAGCACTGAAGAGAACGCTCGAGTTGAGATCCAGTAGCAGGTAGTTGAAGTGAGAGAAGTTCAGCTATCGCGCGCTCATGACTTCATGCGACTTTCAAATAAAAGTAACTTAAAAATACTTGAAATTAAGCAAAAATTTTGAATCTATTACTGCTTCAAACTAAAATGTGCAAGCAAACAGTAAAAGCGTCGCCGATGCCTTCTTATGGAGAGTTGACGGTAGCACGATTGCGCAGAGAGGAAAAAAACGTTGCACCGGCTCTATAAAGGGACCGAGCATGAGATCTCCCTCGGGTTTCTTTACGTAAAAGCCTTCTTTATGCCTCCTAAAGAACAAATCTTGAACATTCACCTTCAGGAAATGGTGAGCGTGACTCTAAAGCCATGAACGTAGGCGCATTTTCTTGTTTCTCTAATTTCCGTGTAGATCATGTCCATGGAATTGGTTAGTCGCATTTGGTAAATTTGCAAATGCGCATTTGCAAATTTGTGTAGTACTTATGAATGTTTTATTTTTATATGCAACCGTTTTTTTGTATGGTAAAAACCTGCATCATTGCTATTTTGCTATAGATGAATAAAAATTTTGACCATGAAACATAATAATATTCTAATATCAAACTTTAAAAACATATGAAGTGCCCTTATCATTTTAACGAATTACATGAAATGATTTACCATTCACTTGATCACAATGCGCGTCAGCGATTCGTTTTCTTAAGCAAAAGCAGAGTTTCAGGACAATGTATTGTTAATGCTAGCATAATCTGAAGTTTGTTTTATTTCGTTACTAGTCCTCTTGCCCTATGTGTGATTCATGAATTGAATGACTCCATTTTTAAATAATGAGATTGCAAAGAAACATACATTATTTCTTATAAATTGTAAAGGCGTTTGTTGCTTGAGACATTGCTATAGAGGAACATAATGAATGCGCCACATTATTATTATTATTATTTTTTGATTAGCTATCAACAAGGAACTCCTTGGATGATTACAAATATCCACAGAAATCCCATTAATACAAAGTTTTCAGCTTTTAATGCTACTCAGCTGGTTTCTAAATGTCCGTTTTCACGGGCTATATTTTTTTAACACGAACACAAATAATTTAATTTATATGACGAGTACATTAGATTTCTTGTTTCTGTGTTAGTGTTTTAGATGTTGAAGTTCCAGGTCACGCTGGAACGTCGCCGGCAGGCAGGACGTCCTCATCGTCGAGATTTGAAGAGCGCTGAAAGTAGGTAGCGTGCATTTGCCCTCAGTTGGGCCAGCTGGTGCCTTCTGTTTGGCAAACTGATGCCCTCAGTTGGGTCATCTGATGGAAACAGTTGGGTCAGTTGATAGAAACAGGTGGGTCACCTGATGGCAACAGTTGGGTCTGCTGATGTTCTCTATTTGACCGGCAGACACCCTCACCTGGGTCAGCTGATGTCAACAGTTGGGGCCAACTGATGCCTTCAGATGGGCCGGGTGATGTTACGATACTGTTGCTTGTCGCTGGTGATGGCGCAGAGGTAGCTGCTGTCATGCAGGGACTGCTCTTAGAAACACGTCTAATTTCTGGAATATATTAATGGTAAACGACCTCCTCTCTGCTTCATTGACAAGGTTTTGAACAGTCTCTGGCAGCATCACTTCTCTCACTGTGGCATGTCACAATCCAGAGGGACTCCTTCGAAAAGTTTACGGCCGGACCGGTAATCAGGCCCAAAACATAAAGTTTTATTTGAGAGGCAAAGGCCACGTGAATTGCGATTAAAAGCGCGTTCTCATAACATTTTAAAAAGTTGCCAGAGACGCATGCTTGATGAAGTCTAGAGTTTTTGCATCATTACGACGACCACGGCACCGTTTTCATTGCTTACATTTTTTACGGCCATTGCTCCATGTTTAAAGAATACTTCTTCATTTACCAAAACCCCATGAGCGTGGAATGCTTCTTAGACGGTCACTGCTTATGCTCGCGTAATATTTATTTCACAGCCCTAGTCCTTTTTTATTATTTCCTTCAGCGACAGTCATGGTCCGCACTCGTATAATGTCTTATTTTCGAACAAAATTTCGTCTATTGAGTGTTTCTTGGACGGCCAATTAAGGAACCTTGTTCCTGGAATGCTTTTTTCAGGTCTCTATGTCCAGGTTGGCTATAGTGTCGAAGGTCCCAATGTCTCAGGTCCCATCGTGCTAGATCCCTGTGCCCAAGGTCCCAGTAACCCAGGCCTCAGCGTTAGGTCCCATTGACCCAGGCCTCAGCGTTAGGTTCCATTGACCCTGGCCTCAGTGTTAGCGTCCCAGTTCCCAGTGGCCCAGGCCTAGCGTACCAGGTCTCGGGTTTCAGGTCCTAGTGTCCCAGGTCCCAGTGACCCAGTGTCCCTGGCAGGCCCCGGCGTGCCAAGTCGGTTCCAGGTCCCAGTGTCCCAGGACCCAGCATCCCAGGTTCCAGTATCCTAGGTCCCAGTGTTCCAGGTCCCTGCATCCCAGGTCCCAGCATCCCAGGTCCCAGCATCCCAGGTCCCAGTGCCCCCCCGCCCCAGCATCCCAGCATCCCAGGTCCCAGTGTCCCAGGTCTCAGTGTCCCAGGTCCCAGATCCCAGATCCCAGTGCCCCAGGTCCCAGTGTCCCAGGTCCCAGTGTCCCAGGTCCCAGCATCCCAGGTTCCAGCATCCAAGGTTCCAGTATCCCAGGTCCCTGTGTCCCAGGTCTCAGTGTCCCAGGTCCCAGATCCCAGATCCCAGTGCCCCAGGTCCCAGTGCCCAGGTCCCAGTGTCCCAGGTCCCAGCATTCCAGGTCCCAGTATCCCAGGTCCCAGTGTCCTAGGTCCCAGTGTCCCAGGTCCCAGTGTCCCAGTATCCCAGGTCTCAGATCCCAGGTCCCAGTGTCCCAGGCCCAAGCATGCCAGGTCCCAGATCCCAGGTCCCAGTGTCCCAGGTCCCAGTGTCCCAGGTCCCAGTGTCCCAGGTCCCAGTGTCCCAGGTCCCAGTGTCCAAGGTCCCTTTACCGTGTGAGCAGGAAGGTGGTGTCGTGCTCGCGTCTCGTTGACCTGAGCGCAGCCGAGCCTTGAGCTTCCCAGTATTTGATCGCGGCTCAGCCTGGCGCTGTGGCCCTGCATGTCAGCCGCACTTCTCTTCATATCCCCTCTATTGCTGTCCTCTATATTGTTGACTCTGATATTGCTGACCACTATATTGCTGGCCCGTATATTGTATCCCTGTACATTACAGCCCCGTATATTGTAACATCCTATATTGCAGCCCCTATAATGTATCCCTCTACATTAAAGCTTCATATATTGTATCCTCCTATATTTCAGCCCTGTACATTGCATCCCTCTATATTACAGATCTGTATATTGTATCCCTATATTACTTAGCCGTATATTGCATCCCTCTTTAATACAGACCCGTACATTGTAGCCCCTAATTTTACAGACTCGTATATTGTATCCTCCTATTTACTGACCGTCAGCGCCATATTTTATGGCCTTATATTACAGACTCATTATATTGTATACCCACATATATCCTCCGTATATGTCGCGTGCATTTTCATGCTCGCGCGCACTCCATATTTCCTTTTGTGCTAAAAATAATTCGAAACCCACTCGAAAAACGGAGTCCGCTTCATTCTTAACGTAAATAAAGATAATGTAGTGGTGCACGGTAGTGGTGCACGGTAGTGGTGCACGGTAGTGGTGCACGGTAGTGGTGCACGGTAGCGGTGCACGGTAGTGGTGCCCGGTAGTGGTGCACGGTAGTGGTGCACGGTAGTGGTGCATGGTAGCGGTGCACGGTAGTGGTGCACGGTAGTGGTGCACGGTAGTGGTGCACGGTAGGTGCATGGTAGTGGTGCACGGTAGTGGTGCACGGTAGTGGTGCACGGTGCGCAGGCGCACTAGCGCACCTGTCTCTACAGGCCTCCAGGCTCGCCAGTTGAGCTCGCGCGTCGCTGTCGTCGGGGGAGCGCTACGTTGGCGTCTCGAGGACACAATATGGTGCCATAATGGGTCATTGTGACTCACTGTATCAATAATAATGAGCGATTCATCATCAATAATCGTACAGTGATGTGGTGGTGACTCCTGAAGTGGCGGATAAAGTGTGGTGACGGAAGTGTGGTGCGGTGTTGCAATGAAGCAACAGCCTCAGCCTACTGTGCTCTTCGTCCGCTTTATTTTTGTCTATCCTTGTATTATCCGCATTAACAAAACGTGTAGAAGGCTCATGAATTCAATGAAAAAATGTTTTGCTCTGATATTTTCAACTCTCCTATCGATTTATCTAATTCGTGTTAAGCACAAGTTTCCTTGATTTTTCGTTCGCCTTTAAAAATTTTGTACATTTTTATTTACAACGGTTGCTATGATTGGTGTATGTGCTTCATCATACTCATTTAATATCGTTATTCGGATAAGGCAATGCTTTGTTTTATTAAGATTGAAAGCGTTCAGTACGCAATTAAATATGACCATCTCCGCCCACATGAATAAGACTTCAATATTAACAAACGATATATATACCTGCTCATTGCTCATTATGAGTGATGTATGAAGCTGTGTTGTTCACTCTACACTGACATGCTCATCACACATGATGTGTGGAGCTGTGTTGTTCACTCTACATCGACATGCTCATCACACATGATGTGTGGAGCTGTGTTGTTCACTCTACACCGACATGCTCATCACACATGATGTGTGGGCTGTGTTGTTCACTCTACACAGACATGCTCATCACACATGATGTGTGGGGCTGTGTTGTTCACTCTACACCGACATGCTCATCACACATGATGTATGGGGCTGTGTTATTCACTCTACATCGACATGCTCATCACACATGATGTGTTTGTGTGAGTTTTAGTTGAACTTCAAGTCGTAATTCTGCCAACAAGTCTTCGCGGTCGCCAACAATTTCTGCACAAAGTTCCAATGCCGATATAGGCAAAGTCTGCGACGTTGCAAACGCAATATTAATTATTATATTCAATCAATCTAACTAAGTTCAATATTTCTAACTCTATAATTTAATACAGTAAATTAATAATATAAATTCTGGTGCTTAATAGTCTGCATAAATGTCCGTTCAATGAACTGAATTTCAGAGCATTGATTGAAAATTTCAATGCTATGTTAACTTCACTAACGTTTAATGCAACGACCGCTGATGTGACACGTATGAATGAATGTGACAATGAATGTTCATGATATTCTTAACGGCCTAGTAAATGATTAACCTATAAAAAGAGATAAAATCTGTAGGTACTCTTGTGATTGTATTTATAGTGGTAATGGCTGACGGTCACTCTAGTTACCAGGCTTGTAGGTACTGAATCTTTGGCGACTGTTGAAGTGACCTCATACAAAGGATAATTATGGAACTTTATCATAGATCAAAAGATAATTATAGAACTTGATCATAGATCAAAAGATAATTAAGGAACTTGATCATAGATCAAAAGATAATTAAGGAACATGATCATATATTCGATAATATATCACAATGGAAAAAAGTAGAATGCAGGAGCTGATATGTCACTAGGCTACGGTTCACGGCCGGTTTTATCTTTTTCAGCGAGTCTCGGGTTTATCAAAATAAGACATTAGTGAACGTTCATCTGCAGCACACTTTTTTTCTCACCGGTGCACGCACAAAGAGAATTAAATGATATTAGTTCATATAGATTGCACATGTGCTACGCCCGCACGGTAGTGGTGCAGGGCATTCTATATGAATATATATATAGTGGTAGATGTGCAGTGCGTAAGAAACTGTGTCACTATTTGGTCAATAAGACTCATCCGCTTTTTTGAGTGATATAAAGCTGTGACCGCATTAGTGCTGTCATCACACCCATGACGACATCACATTACAGCGGATAAATCAAATATGAAAAATACGATGATGTAAGCAAATAAAATAAATGAACAAGAAGGTCCAGTAATCCTAAATTTCGTAATAGTCTATAGGGGTGAGACTTAAAAAGAAAGAAAGGCTGATTGTGAATGTAAATAGTAAAAATTGCCATCCAATTTTTGGCATCATAGAGGGAAAAAATACGAATGGAGAAGACGCAACATGCAAACACACTCGAATTTCAAAATAAGACTTGATTTTCAAGATAAGACTCGACTTTCATGAGAAGATGAAATCAAGTAAATGTAGGAATGCAAGGTATAAACATTAAAAATGATTAGTAGAATAGGCAAAATAGAGAAAATGGTAGCGCTGTAGTTTTCGAGTCAAGTCAAGCTTTCATTTCGTTTGCAGAGATAGAGTGTTACCTTTTCTGAGTGAAAATTATAGGTGTTTTATACGCGGCCATAGAATGTTCGGTTTTTGAACGGCGTTAACATTAGGAACATCAAGCCCTTGCTGACTGTTCATAAAGATTATCAAAACTATCACAAAGATCGAAACAAATCACCTAGTATAGAATATTTCACGGCTTTTTGAAAATATATTAAAACATTTTGCTGTTTTATTTACATTAAAAACTTTCAACTGTTTCTAATGAATGATTGAATGATTGATTAGGTTAAAAATTTTATTTAGAAATAATGATTTAGGCTCAATTATTCGTTTTTTTCTTATTATTATCAATGCTAACATTCTCTTTATACAGTCGATAGCCCGCCGTCGATGTATTGACGAAAAGTTTTGGCAATTTAGTGATCAATATTCCGACATCGATAATCCGAACATAATTCCTTGTCGATTGTTCAAGAATTTAAGGAATACCGAACATGAACAGCGGCAGCATAAACGAACATACATTCTTTTAAAAGTGTAGTAAAAAATCATTTAAAAATGGATATAATTCAAACTATTGTTCCAGAATATTATTTTCGATCGGAAATAAAGGGCAATAAATTTTTGAGTTAACACTGAAAAAAGCTACAATTCCAAGCCTAAAGTTCAATAGATGGCGCTGCACCACCACCACCTGCTGTATAGATGGCGCTGCACCACCACCTGCTGTATAGATGGCGCTGCACCACCACCTGATGTATAGATGGCGCTGCACCACCACCACCTGCTGTATAGATGGCGCTGCACCACCACCTGCTGTATAGATGGCGCTGCACCACCACCTGCTGTATAGATGGCGCTGCACCACCACCACCTGCTGTATAGATGGCGCTGCACCACCACCTGCTGTATAGATGGCGCTGCACCACCACCTGCTGTATAGATGGCGCTGCACCACCACCTGCTGTATAGATGGCGCTGCACCATCATCGCCATAACCCCTTCCTTTCCTACACCGGCCCAAATGCAAATCATTATACGTCTTAGTTAACAGTGATATTTTCAATGTTAAATTGCCATGCTAATGAGGTGGAATTGTTAGAAATATCAACAATTAACTTTCAGCTTAAATTTAAAGCTTGTCGGGAACAAAATCCGTTTATTGTGAGCTGCCGCTCATGAATAGAATAATCTACGGAATTTCAATCCAGAATTTAGTTATCTTACATTCCAAATACTTTTTTATTAAGATTCAAATGTCCTCTAATTGTGAAAAGTCCGAGAGTTTGAAATTAAATAAATTAGTCCACTAAAATATGGTGCGTTTTTCAGGACAAATATTACTTGGCTCACCAGGCGAGAAAAATAAAACATTTTTACTTTATTTGCGTAGCTCTTTAGTTTAAATAAAGACTGACCCGTACAATTTGAAATCCGCGTAATTAAAAATTCCAAAATATTCTGTATGAGCCACCGTTAACCTTAATTTTGTTACTCAAATATTTTACCTATTAAATTAGATTTTATTATCTTGAAGAAAAATTTCTTGTAACGTAAAATATGTCTCAATCTTCGGTTTGATTCTAAACGATTGCTGTGTTCGTCCATAATTTTAAGGAAGGGCGAAGGTGGGAAGTTTGCTTGTGAAGTTTGTTGGTTGTTTGTGGCATGCGAGGGCCGCTTTGGCGGTGAAGGCTACGGGATCTTCTAGGCGCTAATTGCTCAAGTTGCGGCAATCCTTTGGGCTCGATCGAGCTTCCCTCGACTCTGATTTCCTCTAAAAAAACGATGGTGTCCTTGAAAAATTCATACAGCTAGAAACAATCATAATGTTTACTGCATGAATGTTCGCTACATTAGTATAATTATGATTACAATTATT